ATAATAATAATAATAATAATAATAATAATATCCCACTACTTTTCCCCACCTTTGTTGATTATTTCTCCGGGTTCAGTGTTCAATTTATTTTTTAATATAAATACCTACCGAAGGCCAAAAAAAAAAAATTAAAGGAACAAAAAAATATTAAATTGAAGCACATCTAAACTAAATCTCACATAATACCAGAATTCTTCTTGGTGCAGCCGTGTAATATAACCCTGAAATGACAATTTGGTGTTTTAAGTAAGAAGTTTAGCATTCTGTATAGTGGAAGGTGCATCAATTAGAAACTATCTAAAAATAAAAAATAGAATAGACAGACATATAGAATTTGATCTTAAACCTATAAATATTTAAGTTTCCTTGGATGAGAGGTATTGTTTTTTTTCGATAAGAAACTCGAATTTATTAATTAAAGACCCTACCAAGCAATGAAATATTAAATATTCCAAGAAATGGAACCTTCCTACCAAAAAAAAAAAAAAAACCATGTCTCCCATAACCACATCCCCTTGGATGAGTTGTAGTTAAAACATATAATTAATATTTTTTTCTATGGTCATTGTTATCCACTTGTTACTTTTATCAAAGTATCTTTCAGAAAATAATGCTTAATAGGCAACAATAATAAACTAATTGGGGGAGTCTATATTATATTCTTTGTCACTCCATTTGATCCATCTTTACATTTATGGAAAATTCGAAGGCAATCATACCCTTTACCAAAATAAGGGATGGAAGGATTAAATTCTTGCAAATTTGTGTGTTATTTTCAATAATCCAAATCTATCCTATTAGTACCATGTCAATTCAAGGGTAATTTGGAACAACGAATGCATCACTCAACGCTGAATATATATGAAAATTTTACTAAATAAATCATACAAAACTTTCTCATTGGATATTGAATTTTGATAATATAGCACCTTCGGAACTGTTAAGGCGTTCAACTGCATGATTCCCATAATGTACAAAATATAAGTTCATATACCTGTTGTTCTTGTTCATTCATTGGTATGCATTCAATGGCTATAAGTTTGTCCACATCATCAACTGTCTCTACATAATCTGGATTAGTGGCCCCTGATACAAACACAAAGATAGAGGTAAGAGAGACTTTTAATGCAAATAAAGTACTGTCATTGAAGATTAAGTATATTAATGAGAAGACATTAATATACTTAGCCTCGATATACTGTCTAGTTCCATCCGGACAATGGCGAACCCACTAATAAGTAGAGAAAAATTGGTGACCAAAAAATTGAACTTCATCAATACAGGGAACTTGAAATATATAGCCATTACATGAGTAATCTTGATCATACCTGAACATACAAAGAGAAGTTCCGCGTACAGGATATCCACAGCCTAAGAGTTTACATCCTGGTTTAGCCTCCCCAATAATTTGAAAGCCTTCTATTCCAGGACCCTCTTCTGAGGCAGAACTTTTGTTATACGTTGCAAAAGAAGAAGATACATTACTCTGTCAGAAGCGTATATGGAATATTACCTTCTGAACTAAAGGAAGCAACTCCATCACCCATTGTTGGTTGATGGAAAGATTGTTCATTTTTCCATTGCTCAGATCCTCTCTGCAATCCATTGCTGTCAAGCAAACTGTCAACATGAGGAAAAATGTAGAACCCGTGTGCGGAGGACAAGCGGAAGCCGTGTGCGGAGGCAGCCTCTGCATTAGCGGAGGCAGCCTCTGCACAGGAGGCTGGTAAAAGCCTCCGCGTGCGGAGGTTCCAACTTTCGCACGCGGAGGCTGGCGTGGTACCTCCATGTGCGGAGGCACCAGCCTCCTCATTAGCGGAGGTAGCCTCCGCATAGGAGTCTAGTGAAAGCCTCTACGTGCGGAGTTTTTGCCTTCGCTGGTTTTTTTTTTCGCCAGATTTCTCCATACCTCTCTGCCTCAATTCCTCAACTCATATCTCCAGTTGTGAAAAGACATCATCCTCAAGAGGGAAAAAAAATGTAAAGAAAAAGCAAACACAGTACGCGACGGGACAAATGTGAACGAACACAAAATTAAAATATAAAAACATGGTACAAAATGGAGAAGAATTCACCGATTTCAACAAAAGGCACAGACCGGAGATGAAAAGGAGAGCGTCGTCGTCGTTTGAGAGTTGAGGTGAGAAATGCAGCGTGATTCGAACTCCGTTTCAAAAGCGGCTCGACTGCAAATATGGGCTCTTACCGATCAGAGATGGACAGGATCGCACCGTCTGCCGCTTGGGTCGTCGCCGATTGAGAGTTGAGGTGAGATAGGAATGGATAGGAAATATGTTAGAATTGAATTTGAATTTAGTCTGTAGCTCACGCATTTTTTCTTTCTTTTCTTTACTTTTTTTTTTTTGCCTTTCCCTTGGACGGGAAATTGGGGCAGCATCTTAGGCGAGAATACTATGCAACTATCCTTCTTTAATATAGTATAAGATAAGATTATTCCGGCACCTCTACAGTCCCCGTGGTAGAGTTTATTTTCATCTTTAGGCAATATATTGATTTTGGACCATTTTGCCCTTGGTCGTTCGAGAATTTCAAGCATTGGTGATTGTGTTGTTGGGGCGAATAGTGGTGGTCCGAAAGTTGTAAAAGTCACATATCTCCTTATTTACAGACCGACTGTTAGTCCGCTCGGTAAATTGGCTTGTCGCTTTTTCATTCATGTATTAGCAAGTCTCATGTTAGATGGCTATTATGCTTTGAGAGTTACCATGTGGGGTAACCATTATTTGTTGCTAGAGTTAATTTTTGATATCATCGTTGTTTGGTTATTTGATTGTTTTGTGATTTCTATTTTTGTTGCATTGATTTTGTTAGAATTATCACCCAGACTTTACCCGTTCAACCACTCCTTTGATCTAAGATCACGAATCTAATGAAATCGTAGAAATCTAGGATGGTATATATTTAGGCCTTTAAGGCTCTCTATGTGAGTGTCTTTGAGGTGTTTGTTGGTGTTCTTATTTGTTGAGATGTCTAAACATCATTTTCATTGGGCGTCTTTAATGAAAAATGTGATTTTTCTATTTGGCAACAAAAAAATGAAAAGTATTTTAGTACAACAAAATGTATCAAAATCTATTGATAATTATTTTTCCATTAGCATATACTTCTATCATCTTGCATTTATTTGACCTTGTTTTGCAAAAAGTAGGTAAACTTGATTCAACTGAAAAAAAAAATTGGAAAAAGAACTTTACTTAAAACTGTCCATCCCTAATAAGCCTTTCTTAATTAAAAGTTTATTTAGCTTTAAAATTAATCCTTCTAAAGAACTGGAAAAACTTCTTGACGTTTTTCATATACATTTGTATATATAAAGAAGTTAAGAATGCAATCAAGTATGGGAGAAAGACACTTACACTCAATATTTTCGTTGATTCCCTAAAGAGTAAGGAGAAGGAGATAAAAGTTGAGAGAAAAATGGAGGAAGTGTTACAGTTAAAAGCATCTAGGACACTTCATTAGTCACTGCTATAAGGAGAAAATAAACAGAGAGATTAGGTAGGAAAAGATCAAGGTGAGGAAAATGTAGTGGCACCCGAAAACGAGAACGGCGAGGTATAAATGCTTCTAAATTTCGAGCCTGGTGAGATTCTGTCTATGAACTCCTATACTGATGAATGAATTGTTAACTCCGGTGCATCTTTTCATGTCATATCTAATAAACATTGGTTTGATATTAGCATGAATATGATCATGGACATGTTGCATGGGGTGGAGTCTCTTATAACATCACTGGGGTTGGTGATGTGACTGTTAAATTTAATAGTGGCATTGTGCATGCATTAAGAGATGGTAGGTTCATCCTACATATAGGTAGAAATTTAATTTCTGTAGGGGAGTTAGAGAGAACAGGTTTTACTAGTGGGTTGGGTGATGGCATGATTAAGATATTTAAGGATACACTTAGAACCTTTAAAAACTATTAGGAAAAATGGCATTTACATTACGTATGCTGAAGTGGTGGGTAGTCTAAATTCCACTATTGCTTCTATTGACGCTAGCTCATGTTAGTGTTAAGGGACTTAAGTTCCTTAACGATAAGAGTGTGTTTGGTAATGATCAAGTGTCTGACATATAATTTTGTGATCATTGTGTGTGTGGCAAATATCATAGGATCTCGTTTTTATCTAGCACATACAAGATATCTAGAGTGTTAGAATATGCCCCTGTTTGACACTCATTTTGGAGAAAAAAATAAATTCTGGAATAGTGATTGATGGAAGAATATGTAATTGAAAAGTAATGAGAATTTTTGGGTTTATGTGTAGTATTATTTTATTGATAGAATGTGTGGTTGAAATGAAAAAAGAAAAAAAAATGAGAATGAGAATGAAAAAAATGAGTTTCAAATTAATTGTGCGGTCCTACAAGCATACTTTTGGTAGTAACAAATATTTCTTGTCTATTATTGATGATTTTTCTAGACATGAGTGGATTTATTAGTTAATAGATAAATTTGAAACTTTTACAAAATTTAAAAATTAGAAAGTTTAATTGTAGAACTAGACGAGTAAAATGTTGAAATATTTGAGAACTAATAATGGTCTTGAATTCTAAAATCTTGATTTTGATAGTTTGTGTAATGATTGTGGCATTATAAGACATAAGATTGTGTCTTACACTCCCCATCAGCGGAATGGGATTGTTGAACGGATGAATCGTACATAGCTTGATAAAGTTAGATATATGATGTTGAGTTCTGGTGTACCTAAATCTTTTTGAGGTAAAGCTACTATGAGTACATGCTACCTTACTATTATGACTCATTCCACTGCTGAAATTTTGATACTCCTTATGAAAATTAGTACGGTAAATGTGTTGATTATTCCATACTTAAAACTTTTGGTTATGTTGCATTTTTCATCAGAGTGAGGGAAAGCTTCAATCTAAAGCTAGAAAATATATTTTTAGATTACCCAGAGAAAGTCAAAAGGTATAGGTTGTAGGATAGGAGCCAAAAGGGTGTTAAGATAATCATCAATAGGGATGTCACCTTTAATGAGTTCGAAAAGCCTTAATTAGAGAGTGAAAAATAATAAAAGACTACTAGAGATTAATCTATTGCTGAGGTGGAGAGAGTGAACATTCCCATCTCCATCACCCTGATTGAGGTGGAGAATAATCCATAGCAATATTTGCAAGATGTAGAAGTAGAAAAAGAAGAGGATGTGGTCGAGGAACATCTTGTTGACCGTAACTCTCTAGCTGACTATCAGTTAGCTAGAGATAGAAAGAGAAGACCATGCAGAGAACCTCAAATGATGTCTGACTACACCATAGCCTATGCTAGTTATCAAGAACTAGTTGATAAAGAGCCAAGTACCTATGAGGAGGCTATAAAGAGTGATAAGTGTAAGAAATGGATGAGTTTCATGAGAGACGATGAATTTTCTTGATAAGAATCAAACTTGGGAATTAGTGCCTAAATCAAAGGATAAATCCAATGTAAGATGTAAATGGGTTCACAAGGTAAATAAGAGAACCACTAAGAGTGAGCCTGTGTGATATAAAGCTAGGTTAGTAGCCAAGAGATACGCATAGAAGGAAGAAGTAAATTATAATGAGATTTTCTCGCATGTTGTTAAGTATACCATTATTAGAGTCATGTTTGCATTGTTGCTCATTATGATCGGAAACTTGTAAAACTTGATGGGAGAACTGTTTTTTCAATAGTGATTTTGATGAAAAAATTTCATGTACCAATCGAAAGGTTAAAAAAAAACTGATCATGTATGTTTTCTGAAAAAATCTCTGTATGATTAAAAACATTCTCCAAGATAGTGGTACAAGAAGTTTGACTCATATATTCTTTCTATTGGTTTTAAGAGGAGTAAGTTTAATCATTGCTTGCATTACGGCACCATAGCACAAAGGATTGGGTATTTGTTAATATATGTGAATGAGATGTTATTGACTGGTTCTGACATGAAAGAGGTAAACAAGATTATCAGTGAATTAAGCAAAGACTTTAATATTTTCGACCTTGGACATGCTAAAAGTATATTTGGCATGGAAATTGATAAAAATAGGTCTAGTTCTTACTTTTTATGTCCATCAAACTTCATATGTGCTTAAAGTGTTAAAAGAAGTTTGGTATCAATAATTGTAAACCTACTTTTATGCTTCTTAGTAATCATTTTATTTTGTCTAAAGAAGAAATAACATATAAAAGTAAAATTTCAATGTGATTATCTCTGTGATGTGTTTTATGGTGTGCACTAGGCATTGTTGCTATTTCCACTACTGAATCTGAGTATATAGCTGTCATCGATGTCTTTAGAGAAGCTTTGTGGTTTAAATGTTTACTTAGTGAACTTGGTGATTTAAACGATAATGTGATTATATACTCTAATAGTTAATTTACTATTCATCTATGTAAAAATCATGTATTTCATAAACGGACTAAACATATAAATGGTAGACTGCATTTTATTAGAAATGTAGTGTCACAAGATGTGATTAAACTTGAAAAAGTGTATTCATATTATAACATTGCAGATATTGGCACGAAATTGCTCACTTTGATAAAGTTTTGAAATTGTCTTATAGTTCTAAACATCCGCACAGGTACGTAGAGTTCTACTTTGTTTGGAGCTTAGTTTGACAACTACTAAACATGTGTTTTTTGGATGTAGGTTTTATTCGGAACCAAGGTGGAGGTTTGTTGGATATTTTGGTTCCAAAAAGATCTTAGGGGCTATGATGATTAACTGGTCGGAATTATACTTCATATCCAAGGAATGAAGATTTAAGTAAATAGACCGTCACCACAATTTAGTAGCCCAATTGCAAAGATAGACTAAAGACCATTAAATAAATCACTTGGAAGATTAAACAGGCTGACAAGGTTACTTGGTGATTTATTCTAGACAACCCATTTCTGCAGGCTTACTCGGTGTAACCTAGTTGCCCATTATTTAAGGGACTTGTTCCTTTGGCTTTTGCATACTAGACACGGTTTTCTACCTTTGGTAATAAACAGGCTGCCTGTGTTTTGCTTTGTGCTTACCCGTGCCTGTGTCTATATTTTCTGCCCGATTCTTGCTCCTCTGTGAATCCTCTATTTTCTGCCCGGTTCTTGCTCCTACTCCATCCATCCCTTTGTGGAACCCTTAGTGAACTGTTTGGATTTGGTCTTTTGGTCCGATTTGTTGTGTTACCTTTGTGAAGATTGACTTATGATCTGA